ACTGGGACCAGCCCCCCTTCCCCCAGTCCTCATACTGGGACCAGTCCTCAAACTGGGACCAGCCCCCCTCCCCCCAGTCCTCATACTGGGACCCGCCCAGCTCCTCCAGTCAACCTTCACCCTGAGCTCGCTCATCCATCTCCTGTTATCAGGCTGCTGCTGTCGTCCTCGTGACCGAAATGTTTCACAAATGAGGAGAAGCTGAGTTTAGCAGTAACTGATTCACAAAGGCGGCTTGTGTGTGGAAGGCCTCGTCCAGCTCTGATCAATCATCTCTCAGTTTAATCACATTTAAACTGAACCACAGCGTTGTGCAGCGTTAAATCTGTTTCTGTACCGAAGATTTTGCATCAGATCATGTTTTTACTATTTTGTTTGATTTCAGATGTTGTCAAAAGTTAGAGCTGTTCAAATATTCTTCTTCAACTTTCCAGGCAATAATTGTGATAAAGCGTCCAAACAGAGCGAATGGAATCAGACTGACGTTACACAATGACCGTACAATGATGAGAACATGCAGCCAAACAAAAGCATCATCAGAAAGATTATGGAAAAGAAATCCTTAAATGAAAGCAGTGAGAGTGTTGAGCCGGTAACGAGGCGGTTCGTGGTCCAAGACTGTCTGAACATTGGCTCTGACAGTTTGTTCTCTGTTCTTTCAGGCCTTCAGAAAGTTCCTGCCGCTGTTCGACCGGGTGCTGGTGGAGCGCCTGATGGCCGAGACGGTAACGAAGGGCGGCATCATGCTGCCGGAGAAGTCTCAGGGCAAAGTTCTGCAGGCCACAGTGGTGGCGGTCGGACCCGGTTCTGTCAACCAGGTAATTACAGGACTGGGCTGTGCTGTCTTGTGGAAGATGAATTCATATGTAGATTCATTAATCACCTGTTAGCTCTGCTGCCCTCTACAGGACAGGTGTCCTACAGTCTGGTAATGTTTAATCCCACTGGGATCTTCTTGATGTTAAAAGTCCAATGTAGGAGAAGTTTAACACTGATTTCATTCCCTGAGGTGGGATCAACCCTCTGAACAGATGAATTATTTACTTTTGCGTAGATAATTGAACCCACATATAAACTGTCCCAACAAGTTTCTGGGTGTTTGTTTGCTTTTGTGTCCTGTTCCTTCACTGAGGTTCATGTTCCACTAAAGTCCTGCAGCTCTGTGGAACCAGAACATGAAGGAGGAGGAGAGAGAACTCAGAGACGTCTTCTGTCAACAGGACTCAGTCAGAATGATGGAAATACTAAAAAATTAAAATAAGTTAAAGTAGTTAAAATGAGCTCAAACTTAAACATTTGCAGCAGTAAAATGTAACATACACATTAAACCAGTAATAATATAAATCAGTGTAGCAGTAAAACACGGACAGAACCATCACAGGAGTCTGTTGCTGCTAAACTCCCACAATGCTCTCTGCTGCCAACATGAAGTGTCGTCCGAGTGACGCCTCCTCTGGTCTCTACAGTATTAAACATTAAGAGGCTCCACCTGGTGGAACAACCAGGTACTACAGCTGAAGTCCACTTTAACCAAATCATTAAAAGCCTTTCTTATTTAACGTTGAGGGAAGCTGAAGGTCCAGAACTGACCTGTTGGACCACACTGACCCTCTGTTGTCCTTGCAGGGTCGCACCGTCATCATCGAGAACTCAGAGACGTCTTCTGTCAACTAAACCTGAATTTGTTTGATTAGTTATTTTACAAACATTTACGAAGCTGATTTATTTCTGTCCTTGTCTCCGTTCTGCTCTGTGGAAAAACACTTGCTGCAGTTCAGCCAAAAGCTCTCTGAATCTTTGTCAGGATTTTTAAAAAGATTTTATTTTGTGTAAAAACAATAATTAAATTCCAGCAGTTCTTTCTGTTTCTAGAGTTTCTAGCTCCGATGTGACATTTTGGGGACTTTCTAACAAGAAAATGTTTTTGTAAATCCTGCTGCTGGGTTTTGGGCTTAAAATTGCAAAATAAAATTGCAAAATGTGCTTCAGACATCCGTCCAGTGGAACCACCTGGCAGTGACTCAGCCAGTAAACATGTTTGTCCAGTTGCTCAACTTCAGCAACTGCTTTTGCCAAACTATGATAACGCTGCGCGGTACGTTAGCAGCTATGTTAGCCTCAAAAATGCAAACAAGGTGTGTGACAGTCAGGTTACTTATGAAGCTATGAAAAAAAAAAAACTCCTCGTCTCCTCGAGGTGCGTTTAAGAACTTTAAAGATCGGAGGAAGCTCGAGTTAGCTTCATGAAACGCACCGTTAGCTTCCCTGTTAGCCATCACAGCACAGGAGCAGGTGATGGAATGATTTTCTTGGTGAAGATGGAAAGCTTCAGTGTGTGTCTGTTGTGTAACTTCGGTGTTGTTGTGTTTGCAGAAAGGCGCCGTGCAGCCGATGAGTGTGAAGGTCGGAGAGAAGGTTCTTCTGCCGGAGTACGGTGGAACCAAAGTGGTTCTGGACGACAAGGTGCAGCTCAGCGTCCAACAGAATGCCTTCATGTTCCTCCTGTTCTGTCTAACGTGTGCTCTCCTCTGCTGCAGGACTACTTCCTGTTCCGTGACGCTGACATTCTTGGAAAATACGTCGAATGAGTTCGTTGTTTGTCGTCGTCGTCGCTGGAGAAGAAATTAGCTTCATTCATGTCTGTTTTTCTTTTTTTTTATGTTATTGCAAATTGTAAATAATTCTAATCTCATTTTGTTACAATAATAAAGGTGAACTCATAATTGTTGTCATGATTTCATTTGTTGTGTTTCATTTATTTCAAGTTAAATCTGTAGATTTAACAGGACGTTCTGACAAATGTAACAGAAATGTTGAATGTAGGTTTGTTTCAGTTACCAAAAGTAAAAGCTCTTATGAAGTAACTACATCAGTATTATTAGCTGTTAGAGCTGCAGCAGATTTAACCAGTTAGATGAAAACAAACATTTACAACAAACAGAATCGATGGCAGTATTTGATTTATCACAGACAAAAATACATCTGAACACCAACTGAGTTAATATACAACAGCTCAGAACCTGCCTGAGAATCTTTACTGAAGCCCGTCTGTACATTCAGTGATGCACAGAAGAAGAAAAAAAGCTGCTAAAAGAAAACAAAATGGCTGATTTCATTTTGAAACTGAACATTGTAAAGCAGCTTCTCCAGCAGCTCACAAATCAAACTAAAAATCACATTTCTTGGTTGAACTTGACCAAAGACCTGCAGGTTATCAGACAAAACATGGACAGAAAAGAGGAAAACCACTTTGTAAATTAAAAAATAAATTAATCCCAAAGCGGATAGCAAGGTGGTGCAGTTGGTAGCATTGTTGCCTGGCAGCTTGAGAGTCGCCGGTTCGCATCCCGGTGAGGACACCCAGGATCTTTCTGCGTGGAGTCTTCATGTTCTCCCCGTGCAGCGTGGGTTCTCTCCAGGTTCTCCGGCTTCCTCCCACAGTCCAGAAACATGCTGAGGTTAATTGGTGATTGTAAATTGTCCGTAGGTGTGAATGTGAGTGTGCTTGGTTGTCTGTCTCTAAGTGTAGCCCTGTGATAGACTGGTTACCTGTCCAGGTGAACCTGCCTTCACCCTGAGTCAGCTGGGATAGACTCCAGCCCCCCATGACCCTGGTGAGGATTAAGGTGTAGAGATGATGGATGGATAAATGCCAAAGCAGGTTAACAACTTATCAGGCCAAATTCTATGATAAATATAAAACACTAAACCAGAAGCCTTTTAAACATCTGAGATTTTTCAATAAAAAGTTGGTGAAGGAGAAACTTCTGATCATTAGGTTTGATCTAATCCCAGACATTTAATGAGATTAATGCCAGAATGTCTTCCTTTATCATTTTATTATGACAGTAAATCATTAGAACACATCTTTTCTAGACATGAAATGATGACTTAAATAATCGGTTACTGACAGAAAACCAACAGTTCTCAGCTTCTGTAGCTCCTCTGCTGCTGATGTTTGGCAGTTTTCTGATTTCTGTGAATGTAAACTCAAAATCTTTGATCAGACTGATCAGCTGTATTGATGGTCTTCAGGATGGAGGATTAGGATCCAGCATGGCTCAGCTTCAGAGCTGAAACCTCCTGAAACTGTCTGAATAACAACATGTGGACAGAAACACAGTGAACGCTGCCGTAAACACCATCATCAGTGTGATGGAGCTTTGTGCTCAGTTTAGGTTTAATGAGTCCAGTGTTGTAGGAGGACCTCAGATCTGCTGGAACACACGACAACAAGTGAACAGAGACGCTCAGTGTGTCTGAAACATGTTTGTGTGTCTCTGTTCAGTAATAAAAGGTTTTAGTGGCGTCTCTTCAGCGTTCCTCAATGAACTGTCAGTCACAGATGTGCGGTCTTATCGTCCCTGTGTGATGGTTTTGTGTCTTTATCATCACTTTGTGTCTCTTCATCGTCGTTTTGTTGTTGTTTTGCATCTCTTTTGTCATGTCCTGTCTGTTTGTGTCTATTTGGGGTTGTTTTGTGTCATTTTGTACCCTTTCTATCCATCCTGTGTGTCTTTGTCTTTATCTTTTAGTTATTTTTGTGTGTCTGTTTTTTGTTCTGTTTTTTTTTTGTCTCTTTGTCTTTTTTGTTGTTTTGTGTCTCAGGTCCTATAATGACTTTACTGTGTTTCTAACTTTTTTGTGGTTGATTTGTGGCTTTCTTTGTCTCTTATTGCCTCTTCAAGTCCATTTGTAAGTGTGTGTGTGTGTGTGTGTGTGTTAGTTTCGTGTCTCCTTGTACTTCTTTCAGTCTGTTTGGAGGGTTTTTGTGTCTAACTTTGTGTTGTTTGTTGTTTTGTGTCTTTGTAGTTCTGTTTATGTGTATTTTTGCCTGTGCGCAGGTCAGTAATCTGTCCTCCTCCATAACTACAGCTACTGACTGCTGTCTAACTCGTTACTAACCAGCTACTAACCAGTTAACTAGCGCTCCGCTCCGCCGGCTTCTGGCTGCTACATCAGCGCCGCTGACGAACATCCGGGTATTCTGTCGAGATGGTCATGGCGGAGGGTACTGCAGTTCTCAGGAGGAATCGGCCTGGAACCAAGGCAAAGGTGCGTTTTCACCCCGCAGTGACACCGCAGCGGGACCGCAGAAAAGCCCTCACGACCCGGGGAAGCTGCTCCAGGTCGTGAAGCCGTTTTGCGGCTCCCGTTTCACCGACAGCTCGGCCGCAGACAGCGCACAGGAAGGGCCCGACCTGACGCGGACAGCTAGCTAGCGTTAGCCGCCGCTCCGTCTAGTTCCTGGAGCAGCGGCCGTCGGCTCTGCCTCTGGTGTTAAACCTCCGAGAGAAAATCACTCGTTTGAATATTTCTAGACTAAACCTGGTGAAGGCTGTCTACACACAGTCCTCCCACACGGACAGCCGTGTCTCGGTGTGTAGCTCCGCAGGAAGCAGCCGCGTCCCAGCTGACGTTATCATGCTAACTAGTTAGCTTCGAGCTTTGACAAATGCAGATAAATCAGAGCTGTTGACTTCAGCTGAGATGTTTTCTCTTCGAAAAGCTTTTCCTGTGACCATAAGTCAAACCCAGTGAGTGTTACTGAGCCGCTGTTGTTGTCTTTTTTGACACCGACAACAAGTCCAGGCTGTTAATGATTGTTGTTTAGTGTCAGCTGACAGCTAGCCGCTGCAGCTAACTGTGGCTAACTGGACTGTCCTCTGTGCAGGATTTCTACAACTGGCCGGATGAATCATTCGAGGAGATGGACAGCACCCTGGCGGTCCAACAGGTGTGTCCGGGATTTGTGTCTGTGTGTGTGTCCGTTCCTGCCATTTATAGCAGCATGTTGGTCTGGAGCAGCACTCTGTTAAACCTGCTGGTGGTTAAAACACGGTTTGGCTGTAAATGTGATGATTATAGCAAAGGTCCTGTTGTTGTCTTCAGTCTAACCCAACAGAGAGTCATGTTCACTGGCACAAAAGAAAACACACTAAAAACACCAGGAGTAATCAGTCTGTTATTGATGACATCCTGCCTGTCAGACACTTTAATGTTCATTCAGACAAACCAAACACAAGGACAGAGAACCACAGAACTCAATCTGAAATGATCCCAGTTTATTTATTTGTAATAATAATAAACTTCACCAACTATACAGTAGAAGTATTCCAGCAGTGATGGAGGTCAGGACTCAACCTGCTGCTGTACAAACAGCTGAAAGCAACAAAACTGAACTTCAGCTCGTGACCTGTTACAGACTTCACTGCAGGAAAGTTCAATTGTTATGAACGTTTCAGTTTGTAATTGATGTGAAATTGTAAAGAAAAAAACAATAAGAAAGGTGTTGGGGATTTTGAAATGTAGAAAAAAAGTTTTGGAGGAATCGCTGCACACCTGAAGTGCGACGTTGTGTTTGTTTGTCCTGTAACGTGACGGTAAAGCTCACGACAGGAGAACAAGTACGAAGGCTTCCTGACTTCAGAGTCGGTCGCCCGTCTGTGTCAGTGGACCTTTAGGGAGGCACAATAATCAAAGATCAATATCTCGTTGAACATTTGTGTTTTCTGAGATTTGAAGAAACATAAACCAACCATTTAACTGTAGTGGGCTTATAAAAGCAGAGGTTACAGTCAGAACCTGTTGGTCTGGTTTCACTATATGAACCTTCCACCAGTTCATGGTACAGCGGTTTCTTTTTCAAATGTAAAACTTTCAAACCGCAGTTTAAAACAATGCAGGCAGCGGAGGGCAGAGGCTGCTGTCTGAGACGTCTGAGGAGCGTCTGATAAATAACGACACTGATGCTGCGAGTCAGTGTTATTTATAGAAGCAGGCAGGAACTCAGGTGTTTGTTCTGCCCGTTGATCAGAACATGTTTGCAGCTCAGTGAAGCTCTGTCATTGTTTCACAGCCACACCTTGGATTTCACAGCTGCTGTGACTCAGGCTTTGGTCGTTTATTCATCGTTACACGGTGAATACTGAACTGAAGCTTGACTTTAATGAATTATATCACAAATGAAATCATAAAGTGCCAGAAAAATTACATGAAGCTACATTTATTAACCTCAGATCGTTCAGATCCACAGTAGCGTAGTGACAGTGAATACAGGAAGGAGACTCTTGCAGTACAAATACAGGATGATGTGTGTTATTATCATACCAAGGTGAAGGAGCGAATGCTGGCCTGGCTGACTGAGGCTCTGTTGGTTCTGTTTCAGTACATTCAGCAGAACATTCGGTCAGATTGCTCCAATATCGACAAAATCCTGGAGCCTCCGGAGGGTCAGGATGAAGGCGTGTGGAAGTACGAGCACCTCAGGTAAGAGGCTTGGTTCTCCTGTAACCCTTCAGGCTCAGATGGGAGTCGTGATGCTGCTGCTTCCTGCACAGTGACGCCTGATCCACGCTTGTCTTCTTCTGGAGCTCATATTTGTAGTGTGTGAATGTCAAAGTCTGCCTCTGCACACTACAAGCTTCTCTGTGGTGTTATTAGCTCATGTCACGCTGGAGTCGTGTCCAGTGTGGGTCTGATGAAACGCGTTAGTCGTGTGAAGAGCTGACTTCTCTCTCTTCTGTCTCTGAAAACATGATACCAGTCCTGCAGTTTACTGCCCCGATGCTACGATAACCTGACTTTGAGAAACTGGAATGTTTGTGATTTTACCTCGTTTAAATGATGTTTGTTCTTCTAACTCTGCTGTTGTTGGATCTGTTTGCAGGCAGTTCTGTCTGGAGCTCAACGGGTTAGCTGTAAAACTGCAGGTACGTCACTCAACTCACTCCATTCGCTCATGTTTTGTTTCACATGTTTTCATGTTTGGGTGCTTCAGTTTAAGGGACTCATGTGAGAATCAGAAGTAGAGATCAGCTCAAGGTTTTAAAGGAGCTTCAGCAGCTTCAGGAATCTGCTGTTAGAAGACAAATCAGTGTTTCACCAGCAGGTCATGATGGTCGGTAGCTCGGCCTGGTTCTGCTCTGTGACGATATTTTATGATTTAGCCAACAGTCCGATCACAGTGAGGAGCAGCTGGTTTATTATCCAGGTAGGTTTCAGCTGAGACCAGAATTAATTCAACAACATCTGACAGCATGAGAAGTTATCACGAGATGTGATGTCAGATCTCAGAGCACCGCGTTCCTCTGCATTCATTCAATCCTTTATTTACCCCTCAAGCAACAACAGCACTTTATCCATAAACACCAAACCTGGTAAATAAACACAAAAGAGGAAGTTACAGGTCAAGAATTAAGACACGATACCAACACGTGAAAAACACGGATGTAGAACTGTTGGACGAATTAATCAAAGTGTTGAAGTTATCGAGTCTGACGTCACAAGTCGATGAAGGAGTTCAGAGAACAGCTGCTTCCTCTGAGTGTTGCTAAAGCTCGTCTCACCTGCAGAGCGAGTGTCATCCAGACACCTGCACCCAGATGACGGCCACGGAGCAGTGGATCTTTTTATGTGCTGCCCACAAGACACCCAAAGAGGTGAGTCCCCGCAGAGTCCTCAGAGCTGCTGGGTACGACGCACACATCTGTTCTGACCCGTGAATGTGTTGTTGTGTCCAGTGTCCTGCCATCGACTACACCAGGCACACGCTGGACGGAGCTGCCTGCCTCCTCAATAGCAACAAATACTTCCCCAGCAGGTCAGTCCTCCTTTAAAGCTCTCCGACATGTTGTTAGGATGAAATGGCATCAGCTGAGGCCGACTTCTATCAAGTTTCAGCTCTTTGTCTGTAACTTCACTGGTTCGTCGTCACTGCGGTGTTTTCAGCTGTTCAGAGACGGAGCTTCTGTTGAGCAGCGAACAGACAAACTGTGAACTTAGTGAAAGGTTTACAGCTGGGAGACAGTAAATGTTGAACTCACATACATCAGATGGACACAAACACAGACGAGCTCAGCACATCAGAGGTGATAACGTCAGTGAGCTCTCTGTTTGAAACCAGACACATTCATCAGACTGACATGAATCTGTGCTGTAAGTCAGCGCTTCATGCAGGACGTCGTGTTCTGAGGATCGTTTGCATCTCTGACATGGAGACACAAATCCTAGACGCTCAACACGATCTTTGTCGTCTAACCTGTGAATGTTTTCTGGTTTCTTTCCATCTCGGTGACAGTAAACTGAACATCTGTGAGTTTTGTTTGAAGAAACACTGAACATTTTCTGAGGTTTTAGAAACCAAACAATTAAATGAATGAAAGTCTAAATTCTGTGATTTCAGCTTCTTAGCTGTGAATATTTTCTGGGTAGCAGTGAACTGAGTGTCTCTGGATCGTGGACACGTTTCAGGATGTTCTGATCAACATTTTTTACTGTTTTAAAGACCAAACAACTTCACAACAAAACAGAATAATCAGCATTGGAAGTAATTGTTGGTTGCAGCTTTAATCAGCAGCCAGTCAAGACTCGATGGGAAGTATGAGCATGAGGCCTCTGTAGTCCATTAAATGTAGACGGTAGTTTGTTTGAATCCAAGTTCTAAACCTGAAGCTGTTGACCAGAAGCTGTTGACTGAAGCCGGTACCAGAATAATGTTCTGTTGGACACGAGGCAGTGAAGCTGGTGTCAGAGATGTTGAAGGTGTTTGATCCTGCAGACTGACCGGGTTCTGTGGACCATCAGGTTCAGTAGAATCCACTGTTTGGTGTTTCAGTCCCTCTGCTTTGTGTTCAGGGTGAGCATCAAGGAGTCCTCGGTGGCCAAGCTGGGCTCCGTCTGCCGGCGCATCTATAGGATATTCTCCCACGCCTACTTCCATCACCGCCAGATATTCGACAAGTACGAGGTGGGTGTTGCTCTCATCTGCTGCATGTTTGTTCCTGTCTGGTTGGTCTCTTTAACTGTGGAGTCACGATTAGATTTACTAACGAGGACGTCTTCAGACCTGACGGCAGCAGACTCAGATATCACAGTGACAGGAGTTCGGTTCACCAGCTTACTGCTGCTGCACGTTCATCAGCAGACGATGCAGATTATTATTGACTGGTCAGAGCAGCCAAGAAGCAAGCTGGCTGCACACTGCTGAGTCTGAGCAGATGCAGTAGAACATGTACATGCATGTGTACTGTTTGAAGTACTGTGTACTGGGAGGTACTGAGTGTGTTTCTGGTGTTCTGCTCACTACGCTTCACTCTGATCATAAATATTCACTGATGCACAGTTCAGAGCGACCAGCTCCTCCTGAGGGCTAACATCTGGAGATACAGTGTTTTACCGGACCGGAGTGGATCCTGATTGGTTGTTAAACCGTCCGGTCCAGTCCGGTCCGGTCTGGTCGTCCTTTGTCACAGCTGCATTAAACACGGAGCTGATCTCTGATGTTTGTGTTTTTGCGCAGAACGAAACCTTCCTGTGTCACCGGTTCACGCGCTTCGTCATGAAGTACAACCTGATGTCCAAGGACAACCTGATCGTGCCGATTCTGGAGGAGGAAGTTCAGAACACCTCGTCAGCCGGAGAGAGCGAAGCCTAACAGCTGCTGCCATAAGGGAGACACATGTAAACACAGCATATGTACACAACACATCCCGCACACACACAAACACACACTACAGTGTATCGAGGCTCCTGTAGTCACACTGTCCATGTCCCTCCATCACGAGTCCATCTGCAGGGAGTAAAGAGAACCAGGAGCAGAGTTCAGCCTGCAGGACCACTTCATCTATTTACTGGTGTTCTGCTTCACGCTCCTCCTGTAGGACCGACCCGACCCGACCCGACCTGACCCGACCCTCGAACGTCCACAGGAAGCCGCTCTGTTGCTGCGTCCACCAAACGTTATCGCAGCGTTCGGTCAGTTTCAGTGTTTGCAGCAGTTTGAACCGTGTAGTTTAGATCAGTGGTCGTACCTGAGCGACTCTGAGCCTCGGACTTCATCCATCGTCTCCTTCTTAGCTGTCAGTTTAGCTCAGTGAAGGTAAAGCAGTGATTTTTATCTGCAGCTCTCGGGCCTCTAACGTCTGCTGGTTGAACCTAAACCAGAATAAACCAAAAAAATGCCTAAATTAAAACTGCAGGGACTTTCTGAGGACCAGGAACCTTTGTAATGAAGAAACTGAAGTCTGGAAGGTTTCATCTTAAAGTCGTACTTTCTGACGTCGTTCGTTAGTGTTGGTTCACTGGTTGGGCAGCTTTCTGCAGGAACTCGGACATTTAGCGGTCCTTCTGTTTCCATTAGTGTTGGATCAGACTGAGCTCCAGCAGCTCTGCTAGCATGTAGGAGACACGACACTTCAGGTTTGTAAGTTTAGTCTGTGGTCGTTTTAGACATTGGGCTGTTTCAGGGTTCAGACCTCTGTTCAGCATGAACCGCTGCAGTGTTGATGCTGAACCCTGGACGCTGTTTGTTCTGCTGCGTGTCCTCGTCCAGCAGCAGCCTCTCCTCTTCAAGCCGCCACCCAGGTCACAGAAACCTTCCTGTCTTACGTCCTGCGTGCTCGTAGAGCTGGAGTTAGTGTTCTGAGTGAACATCGCAGCTGTTGGATGGAAACAAAAAGAGCAGTGATGTGAACACTCATGTTGCCTGAGTTCCTGCAGACCTGTGTAATGCTCGACCAATCAGCTCCATGGGAGTGTTTCAGAGGTAGCTGACCTGAGTTCTTGATTCCTGCCAGAAATCAGCCACTAGACAGGCTCCGCAGCTTCAGTTCTTCTTCTAAGAACCTCAAAGGCCTCAAGTTCCTGCAGAAGGAGGTCTCTGATTGACACAAGCAGCCAGTTTTAAGTTCTGTTAAAAGCTGCCGTCGTTTTCTGAAACGTCGGCGCTGATGGGGCTCGTCTTCGAGTCCTCACAACCTTTATCTCCTCTCAAAGCCCACACTCGTCCTGAACTCGTCTCCGTCAGAGCTCTGAGCTGCTTCCTGTGGACGTGGCAGGTGGATCTTCTCTAAGCAGCTGGGTTTGCAGACCCTCGGTAACCATGGAGACCTGTAAGGTCTAGCCTCCCTCTGTACATAAAGCCTCCTTCTTCCTCACTGTCATGTTCTCTGATGGTGCTTCACTCTTTGTGTCTGCTTCTGTTCTCTTTGCTTGTGTTGCCTGGTTTGGGGGTGTCCCATGAAACGGATCACTAAATTAGCCTGCTGACTTAATAATGCTATTAAAACACAACGTAGATGTGCGGCTTGTGTGGTAGTGAACAAAGAAAACCTTAATCTCTAGCTTCGTGCGTGTTCTAGCAGTCGGATCTTGTTTCTCTTGACTCTTGGGCGAACTCTGATCCTGCTTTGTGACATGACCCCACTATTACTGTGTACGATGTGGCCGACGCTCCCGAACAGGAAGCGGAGCGGTTTGTAAGCGTCGGGGTGGATCCTGAAGGAGGGAACATCGGCCACATCCAGGTATCGGAGCACAACCTCTTCTTTAACCCTCCCCTCATTAAGTTATTTTGTGGGAGGAGTCTTGTCAATCCAACCCACTTTTTTTTTTTAAATGGACTAAAAAATTTTGTTACTGTCGACATTTTCATGATGTCTGTTAATAAAAAAGACCTATTATTCAGCCGGTGTGTCTGGCGTCGTGTTCTTTAAATGCTGCTGTTCACGGTGATCAGAGTTTTAGAGCCTAAAAAAAACGAACCAGAGCAGCGAAGAATCAGAAACAGTACGTTGAACTTTTACTGGCTTCAGGTCCCAGATCGTCCTGATGGAAGAGAAAACATTTATCTGCACCTTTTATTCCTGTTGAGTCCTTAAACAGCACAAACTGTACAATCATTTGAAAAGGAACTAATCATCTGCAGCTAAATTTAAAGCTAATGGTGGTTTATTGCAGAGATTCAGTCACACAAACCTGCAGCCGCGTCAACACAACAGTTCACCGTTTACAGGAACGAACACGAGACTCATGGTGTGAAATACTGAGTGTTTATTACAACAATAATAATAAAAAAGAAACACCAAAGATAAAGGGAGCAAAATGTACAAATGTGTCCAAAGAGGAAAATCTGGAATATTAATACTGACATTTAGTAAACATCAACAACCTCCTAAGATATTTACAGCACCAAGACCTCTGACCTCCCGGACCGTCCTGCTCCTTCGGGGTTCTGTGACGGTGCTGGTTGGGTTCGGGACTGACGGTCAAACAGTTTGATCAATTTGAAACAATAAAAAAACAACTTTATTTAAGTGGAAGGAAGCAGAGTGGACTTCTGCATGATCAGTGTTCTGTTCATGAGCTCAAAGATGCTTCAGGTTTTTTTTCATCTCATCCGGGATCAGAGATTATTGATCGACTGTCTGACATTACAGATTCTGAATCGATGAGAAACAACAGAGAACTTTCAGGTTTTAGTTCCTCAGATGTTGTTCAAACCTGAACATTAGAATAAAGCTGCTGGATGTGGGTCGACGGGGAACCAGAGGACCAGACCGGTACATCATCCCAGAAACCAGGAGCTGCAGCTCTTCAGCGACGTGACTTTGTTGTTTTAATACATTAGTTCACATCTTAAACCCGTGTTAAAACAAAAAAAACGTGTCTATTGTCACTTTAACGGTTCTACTACCGACATCATCGCTGTTTCATTTTGCCTTCAGAATGAGATTTTATCTCCCAAATCAAACCAATAACACAAACGGACCGATGGAGGCAGCAGAGCAGCAGCAGGACCTGTGTGAGGTTGAACTGGTGTTTTTGTTAACGGACTCAGAGAGACAAAGTGTCCACAGTCTACGGTTCTAGGGTTAGAACTGTACTAGAACATGTTTAGATGCTTTAATGTTCAAAACACATTATTTTCTCATATTCTCACTGATAAATACTCCAGAAATCAGAGTAGGAGCTCTTTGTACTGATACACACTGAGCTCACAGAAACACATGGTACAGCACAAGAACACGAAACATCCTCCTCGTCTGAAGGCTTTAAACTACAGTTGCCAAAGTTTCTGTGTATGTTCGTGGAGAACTTTATCCTCTGCAGGAAAAATGTGCATATTATCGACAGAACCTGTAAAATCTGCAGCTCCAACAGGAAAAGAACAAAATAATGCTGTGAGACACGATGAGCTGCAAAACTCAGCTGGAACGTCTCAGAAAACTATGTACAGGTAAAGTATTTCAGTACCAAAGTGAGCGACATGAGGAGAAGCTGCCGGTTCAGGAAGAAAGAAGAAAAACGGAATCTAAACAGGAAGAAGGTCGAGCCTCGTTTTGTCTCCTTGTGTTGCTTCAAAAAGTGTTTCAAATGTGTGTAAAGTCTAAACAAAACCTTACTGTCATTATGGCTTCATAAAAATGTTCTTTAAAAAAGTGCAGAATTCTTCTACAGTCTGTCAAAGGAAGCTTCTGGTCCGTGGATCCGTGTGAATGTCACCATGTGGTTCTGGAGCAGCTCCGCCTACATACAGGTGACCTCGGCCTTCCCCTCCTCCTGCTCGAAGCCTCCCTCCTCCAGGTGGGACAGAGCTCCAGGGTAGCCTCCACCGAACACCGGGAAGCCGCCGATGCCTCCTGCAGCCGGGCCGAGCTCCTCCTGGGGAACCGGGCTGCTGACGGAGCGGCTGATGGAGCGGCCGGACACGTCGCTGTGCAGCGACAGGCTCTGCAGACGACCAATCAGAGGGCTTCGTTCAGTTTAATGCTTTCTACAGAAAAGACATCGAACTCTCAACAACCTAAAAACTCACAGCTGGGTCTGAACCAACAAACCGCAAAAACAGAAAAACAACTCTGGATTTTCATCTTGATGTCGGTCGGTGAACTAATCATGTGACGAGCAGCTTTTTTAAGGAAATTAACCAAATCTAAGTTAAACCCTGTTTGATTCATTAAGGTCACTTAATTCTACATGTCACAAATAAAACTGGGGAAAAAAATGAAGCATTTACAGCAAAGGTTCTGGAAAAATCTAAAAATTCTGCATTTCCTGTCTCAACCGTGAAGTCACGACTGACTCAGCTGTCAGGAAACATTCAGAGAGTTTCAAGTGAACTGTAGCCAGTGTTTCCTCACAGAGACTGAGAGGAAAATCCAACCTCCTGGATGAATAAATAAATGCAGCATGGATCAGAACCAGAGAACAGAGGAGCACGTTGGTGAAGATACATCCAGCTGATGGTGGAACATCTTTCTACTGATGATGGTGGAACATCTTTCTAC